AAAAATAGCTGAAAAAGCAGAAAGGAGCTGAAATGAGCTAAAAAAAAATGTGGAATTAGCTGAAAAAGCTAATTTATCACAAAACCGCTAAATAGTAGCTGAAATTAGCAGAAAAAAGATGAAAGGAGCATAATAAGCTGAAATTAGCAGAAACAAGTTAATTAGACTGAAAGTAGCAAAAATTACCGCTAAATCTTGAATTTATCTGAAAACGGCTGAAATTAGCTACAAACGCTAGCAAGTTAGCTGAAAAGGTAGAACAAGCTTAGAAGAAGGCAGAAAGAACACGTTTGGCCAGTTAGACTGACAGAAGCAGAAATTAGCACAAAAAAGCGAAAATTATCTGAAACAAGCTGAAATTAACAACAACAAAAAACAGCTGAAAAATAGCTAAAAAGGCAGAAGGAAGCTGAAATTACAAGAAGGAAGTGGAGAGAGCACATTTCTGTTGAATTAGGCTGAAAAAACTTTAAATGAGTGTGAAAAATGTGGAATTAGCTGAAAAAGCTTCAATTAGCATAACATTTCTAAATAGTAGCAGAAAAGCCGAAACTTGCAGAAATCAGCTGAAATATCATAACAAGCTGAAATTAGCAGAAAGAAGTTAAAGAAGCACAATAATGTTTTAGTTAGTAGAACGAAGCTTAAAGGAGAACAAACAGCTGAAATTAGCTGAAAGTAGCTGAAAATGTGTTTAAATTTGCAGAAGGAAACTGAAAAAAGCTGAAGCAGAACAAAATGTGAAAGGAGCAGTTAAAGGTTGTAAACAGATCTAAAGATGTGAAGGATGGAAAATGAGCTCAATTCATTTTATATGAGGAAAAAAATGGCAGAAAAGGCTAAATATTTCAACAAGCTAAAGTTGCACCAACACCAAAAGCCATAGCAGGACTGTTCTGAAAGAGCTGAACGTTTTGATTTATGATTTGTTGAAACAGCTGAAAACTGCGGGACGAGAAATGTGCTGAAAAAAGTACAGAAGCAAAATGGATCACAACAGAGTGAATGCTTCATAAACAAAAACAAACGTCTTTATGAATCCCCCCCCCCCCCCCCTTTATTAATGCAGATATTTTTATACTCCCAAGGCGGGACATGTTATGTCCCATCACCGTCTGTCTGTGGACATTGTCTTGTTCCAGCTCTAAATCGAGAATCCTTTGATACAGAAATGTCAAACTGGACACCGATGATCCTTATTGATTTCAAGGTCAAAGGTCAGAGGTGACCTGTTTGTTAAAACCTTGTCTGTGCTCCATAGAAATATCAAACCTTTGTCTCTTAGATTGAATTTATTAAGACATATATTTTTATCTTTGCCTAATTTTGTCCATTCCAGTCTTCCGTACTTCAGTACACCGTCTACGTAAACTCTCAGGAGACAAAGGAGATGAACGTATAGAATATTGTGAACCTCTTCTGATCGTTTCTTTCCGTCCGGCGATGGTTTTAGGGGCGGCTACCTGGTCAAACCGACCTCCATCGAGTTCTGGCAGGGTCAGACCAACAGGCTTCACGACCGCATCGTCTTCACAAAGAAGGAGGTCGGAGAGAAGCTCGGCGAGTTCCAGAGAGGAGCGGCGGGAGGATGGGCGTACCAGCGACTCTCTCCGTGAGCGCCGCCACGAGACGGCGGCGGTTCCTCCTGAACGTCATGTGACCTTAAAATAAAAACATCTAAAGGTAGTTTGTTAAACGTCTTCGAACTCATCCGTTTACTGTAAATCAAGAAAAGTGAAGTTTTCTGACCGACTCATCCTCATCAGATGATTCACAGATTATCATTTTTATTTATCTTTTAGGGTGAAATTAGCTGAGTTTCACAACCGCACGGTCCAGTTGTGAGAAAAGGATCAGTTTAACCCCAGAATAAGTGCAGACAGTTGCTGCTTCTCTGGGTACGGGCAGCAGCCGAACAACTCCTGCGAGTGGTTCCCTGTCAGCGCAGCACTGGCTGAGTTTTACAGCTCCTTTATGCACGACTGATGCTCGAGTCAAAGTGAAAATAACTGGAGAAAAGACACGTTTATTGGAAAATATTAAGGCAGAAAAACTCAAACTTGGTGCAAAAGCAGCAAAAGTGCAAATAAAAAAAACTTCCTGAATATTCCAGAATATTTTGAGATTAGAAGACAGTCTAGCTGCTTAGAATGAAAATATAACGAAATGAGGGATGACTTAAGACTTTTGCACAGTGCTGTATATGATTTGTACGTACGTTTTTCCCCCCCCCCCCAAAATAATTATTAATTACGAATAAAACCAGTTCTTGCAGAAGGCTGTAGGATACATTTTAAAAATCCAAACCTCCATAAATTTAATGTTCTTCAGTTTTATATATTTTTATGAACAGAAATATTATTTTTACAGCCGTTTTAAAACAAATTAGAAATTTATGACTAGGATTTAGTCCTAGAAACCAATACTTTTATCATATTTCATCCATTTTAAATTTGTTTAGCTGATATAAAGAATTAATTCGTAACTAGAGAAATCACAATCCATGCGAAAATGCAATGTGAGTGCTTATTGCTGAATAACTTGCTGAAACTAGGTAGAAACATGTAGCTGAAATGGAAGGACAAGCCTGAGTTGTGTTTAAGCAGAAATGAGCATAACAATTAGGGAATTGGCTAACAAAGCTGAAATTAGCACCAAAAATAGCTGAAAAGGCTGAAAGATTCTTAAACTACCAAAAGTAAGTGGAATGAGCTGATGAGCTAAAAAAAAAAATTGTAGAATTAACTGAAAAGTTAAATTTGGCACAAAAACAGCTAAAAAATAGCTGAAATGGCAGGAAAAAAAACTGAAAGGGGCATAACAAGCTGAAATTAGCAGAAAGAAGTTAATAAGGCTGAAAGTAACAAAGATTACCATGAAAAACTTGGAATTTATCTGAAAACAGCTAAAATTAACTAAAAAAGCTAGCTGAAAAGGTAGAACAAGCTTAAATTAGCAGAAGAAAGCGGACAGAACATGTTTCCCCAATTAGGCTGAAAGAAGCAGAAATGAGCATAAAAAAATGGAAATTATCTAAAAAAAACTGAAATGCGAGAAAAACAGCTGAAAATTAGCTAAAACTAGAAGCTAAAATTACCAGAAGGAAGTGGAGAGAGCACATTTTGCTGAATTATGCTGCAAAAGTTGAAATGAGTCCAAAAAATATGGAATTAGCTGAAAAGCTTAAATTAGCATTAAAACAGCTAAATAGTAGCTGAAACAGCAAAGCAAACTGAAACTTGCAGAAATCAGCTGAAAGGAGCATAACAAGTTGAAATTAACAGAAAGAAGCTAGAGTAAGCGCAAAAATGTTGTAGTTAGCAGAAAGAAGTTGAAAGGAGCACAAAACAGCTGAAATGAACTGAAAATAGCTGAAAAAAAGTTTAAATTTGCAATAAGAAGCTAAACCAGAACAAAAAGTGAAAGGAGCAGTAAAAGGCTATAAACACATCTAAAGATTTGAAGGATGTAAAATGAGTCCAGTTCATTTTCTAGGGAAAAAAAATGGCAGAAAAGGCTAAATATTTCAAAAAGCTAAAGTTGTGCCAATACCACAAGTCATAGCAGGATTGTCCTGAAAGAGCTGAACGTTCACTCTATTAGTCCGGCTACTATATGTCTTAATTTATTATTAGCTAAATTTTCCTGTAACACTTTTAACAACATTAAAGACTGTCGTTGTCAGCTGACCTGTGTCTTGTAATAGTGAGTTTGTGTTTCACTGTTTGTTCATGACAACAATAAAGTTTAGTTTTGAACGCTTGCCCAGCAGGTGTCAGCAGAAGTCCAGATGAGCTAAAGTCAAATGTGTTTGATCCCTGCTGTCCTTAAGGATTCTGCTTTATAAATGAAATATAGAAGCACTGCACCAGTGTCAGGTATCGGTGTCTGTTTACCGTCGCCATGACGACAGCCTGCCAACAGCGGCTCAGGTGAATCACCTTGATTATAAAAAAAAGAGACACAATGATGGCACCAAGATCCGTTTGAGTAAAGCAGAAACTTTCTTTTTTTATCTAAAGATGCTAATGTTTTTACCTTGTTGCAGCATTTTTTCACTTTATTAAAGTAAATACCACAAAAAATAAACAACCTGAAGCCATCCAAACCCAAACATTTACAATTCATGATCAAAATTCACAATAATTAAATCTTTATTTATCCATTAACTATTTAGTATAAAAACACTTAAACAAAAACTTAAGCAAATGCTTTCTACCAAAATAAAAAATATAAATTTTAAAGCGTTAAAGCATTCGTTAAGTGACTTTTTTTAAAAAGCACACGATTGTTTGGGCCGTTGTAAGTAAAATATGGAAAGGAGCTTGTGGGCGGGGCCAAATTCTGAGAAAAATCTCAGAAACTCAAACGTTAACGTCATATATTTACATAAAACCTTGGATGTGCGCTTATGTTAAAAAAGCTTCTGTTTGCAATTTAAAAAGTCACTTTTTTAATTAAATTCAGGAGTAAAGAACATGATATCCTCTGATATGAAAAAGTTATAAATGAGTGAAGAAAAAAATTATTAATTTCAGGACAAAATCTTAAATTTGCCAGAAAATACCTCATTTTGTTTGATTTGTCTGTAAATTTACAACTTAAATAATATTCAGATGCCTCTTTTTGTCAATTAAGGACTTTAATTCTAAAAGTTTTTACTTTTTTCACCAGTTTGTCTTTAGAAGATAAATTTCTTGCTTGTAAATTTAGAAATTTATCCTGAAAAACATTGTTTTTATTTACGAATTAACGTCAACATTTGGGAATAATTTCTTCTGATTCTGCCCACTGACTCCTCATTTTTAATAGTTTTTTTTTTTGTTTACAACGACCCTAAAACAGTTGTGAGAACGTTCTTCGATAAAAATCTTTAATTTTCAGAAAATCTGTGAAAAATTCTTATTCTTTTATCCGTTTTGTTTGGCTTCTAACCTTTTCGGAGCGAGCACTGAATGTATTTACCACAATGTTTCAGGCACAGTCTTTTAAAAAGAAGCTTTTGTTTTGGGGTTTGGTCATAAAACAAAATTAAATTGTATTTTTACTAAACAACAAGGAAAATCTCCAAATATCTTGTATCGATTTACAAATTTTCAACAATATTACTAAAAATGGATGAGTTTCAACTTTAATGACTGCTTCAGCGATTGATTCTTGAAATCTACACCCACCTGCCGCTTTATTAAGTTCACCTGTTGGATTGTTTGCTGCTCAGCCAATCACGTGGCGGCACCTCTTTACGTGCTGAAAACAACTCGCCGACCAAGAAAGGAAGTGGGTTTAAACTCGTTGCAAAGTGAGAAATCGCATTAAAAAAGGTTCTCCAGAACTACAACAAATGGGAAACGTTTGATAAAGTTTCCTCCAGAGAATCTTTTCCTAATGCGGGTCTGCACTTAATGTAAACAAAGCTGAATCCACTGAAAACCTGGAGGGGTTGCCTGCACAAGGTTGGCTGCGTAGGTAAACAAACATGGCAGACTAAAGTCTCGGAGAAGACGTTTAGGTGGAAATATCTGCTGCAAAACGCACGTGACAGTTGGCATCCAGTCGCAAATTTTACATGCAAACTTAAATTTTAAGGACACATAAAACATAAACGTAGAAGATATTGCACGGATCAGGCTCATCGCTTCGAGATTTGTAGTTTTTTATTTTCGTTTGGTGTTTAAGACTTTGCATTAAGTGGCTTTGAACGTGACGGAGTTCAATTTGTAACGCGATCGCTCGTTATTCTTCACGCTGCAGCTTCTGGACAGTCGTCTTAATTATTCCATTAAATCAAGGGTTCCCAACACTGGTCCTTGAGGAACACCATGCTGCATGTTTTAGTTGTTTCTCTGCTCCTGAATTTAATAAATGGGTGATTTACAGGTTTCTGCAGAACACGAGGAAGTAATGAAATCACTGAATCAGGTGTGTTGGAGCAAGAAAACAACTAAAACATGCAGGATGGTGTTCCTCAAGGACCAGTGTTGGGAACCACTGGAAGGTATTGAGATGAGTTAAAGCTACATATTTGCCAGTTGTATGTCTCTCAACAAGATGTAACTGTTTTAGTGAAATTTCACAAAACTTTGTTGGAACTTTGGAGAATAAAGAAATGATTAAAACAAAGTTGTTGGTCTGAGTATTTCAGAAAGGGCTGATCTGCTGAGATTTTGATGCACGGCCATCTTTAGGGTTCACAAAGAACGATCCAAAAAGGAGAAAACTGCCTCGATGTCAGAGGAGAATGGGCGGACTGGGCTGAGATGTTATGAAGGTGAAGGCAGCTCAACCAAGATATTCAGATATTTATCTCAGAAGGCACGGCAACCGTGAAGCAGATGGGCTACAGCAGCAGAAGACCACAGCAGGTGTCACTCCTCCCAGTTGGGAACAGAAACTGGGGAATAAGAGGTCGGAAAACCATTGAGTCTTTGTTGAGTGAACTCCAGTGGCCTTCAGAGTCACCAGATCTCAGTCCAGTCTACCTTCAGGATGTCTTGGTCCAGGAGATTCACATCATGGCGTATGGGCCCAGATCTCTGGGGAACGTCTCCAACGTCTTGTTGAATCTATGCCCTGAAGGACGGCAGTTCTGGAGGCGTGCGAGGGTCCGGCCCGGTACCAGCGAGGTGCATCTAATGAAGTGGCTGATGGGTGTGAAACCCCACAGGGAGCAGGAAGCTGACAGACGTTTGGTTTATGGATTTATCTCCTTAAAATCTGAAGGAAGTTGCCTCCAGAAGTGATCGGAGATCATCTAAAGATTGGTTTTCTGATCCGGTGTGTGGAATCGGTTGGTTACAGTATCTGCCCGGGCGTTTCTGAACTCCTTTCAAAGGGTGTCTAGGTGGTTTATGACACGTTTCCAATCCACTAAATGTCAGCCTTCTTTTTATGGTTCTCGTTGCTCTGGTGGTGCTCCGCGAACAGACTCGGGTTCTCGGCCAGCGTGGCTCGGACCTTCTTCTTCTCCTTGAAGCGACCGGAGTGGGAGACCTTGACGTGGCGTCCCTTGGTGGCGGACTTGTCCACGATCTTCTCCAGCTTGGCGTTGAACTGGCTGTCCTTGTTGTCTGCGGGAGGGTTCGGTTGCTCCTTGTTGTTGCTGCCGTGCTCCGCTGGGATCTCGTACAGAACTTTGGGCTCAGATTTCTTCTTGCGTGAGAAGGTCAGCTTCCACCAGCTTGAGTCCGCCATGATGGCACCGACAGAGGGACTGGAGGACGGACCTGAAAATCAAACGGCAAACGTTTCAAACTGCAGGTAACACCCAACACTGACACGATACGTCTACGTAAAAGGGAAGGAGTTGAAGATAGGACTTTGAAAACAAACAAGTCAAGTCATATTTATTTATAGAGCACAATTTAAAACAGATAGACTGTTATCAAAGTGCTTTAATTTAGTTACTCTACTTATGTGCTAAAACTTGGTGTTTTATCAACCTGATTTAAGATGGCTGCCACAAATAATCACCCTTGTCACAAAAATGGCTATAATTTGACGACTTTAAGAAGCATCACTTTAATACACTTTACAGATTCATCATAGATGATGTAGCCTTTAAGTAAATTCATTTTAGGTGGTGCAGCTTTTTGAACATTTAGTCATTTGTTTCAGGTGGCACAGCAATTCTATACTAGCACCAATTCGTTTTATTCTGCACATTATTCTAGTAATTTCTCCATTTCATATCAGCAAGTTCAGCTATTTTAATATTTACGGTAATTCATTTCATGAGACGTAGCCTTTCTATCATTTATGGTCATTTATGTCAGGTGGCACACCTTTCTAGTACCGTATTTTCTGACGACGCACCACCCTATAAGTCGCCTCAGTCCAAATACGTCTAATAAAGTGGAAAAATACATAAATATGCCGCTTTGCCGTATAAATCACGTCTATTATATGTCACCGTTGACGCGTCGCGTTTGTTGTGCATCACTGCTGACGACCTGGAAATGTTGTGCCAAAAATCAACTGGCTGCCAAATGGCGGCCACGGGAGGATTTTAACAAGAATTTAACAAGGTTAGCACTTAAACAATTATTTGTTTGCTCGACTTTATAGTAAAGACGTATCTCAGTCTAACTTTTACTTAATAAATGCACTTCAGTGGTCAAATTAGGTGGCAGATTGTGTCATTAATAGCCACTTTTACCTATTACATGATCCCATACTACTCGTGTGCCATCTAGTGGCTGAAAATGGTAGTGTTCAATATTTTCAGTCAGAATGAATGTAAACAGTCATATCTCAGCCAAAAACTGGTTTATAAACATGAGGAAAAAATCCGTATAAGTATAAGTCACATGGCCTGTAAATTATGCAAAAAAACTGTGACTTATAGGTCGAAAAGTACGGTATTTACATAATTTCAGGAGGTGCAGCGTTTCTACTATTTATGGTAATTCATTTTGGACGGCTCAGTTTTCCTAGAGTCTCTGTTTTAAAGTCTCTGACACTGTTGGGGAGAGTTTGGGAACCACTGCGCTGCCATGAACTGACAACCCTCCTGCTGCCTTTGGGTCAAAATGACTCAAAGGCAGCAGCAAAGACTTCTAATATTTTTAACCTCCAGTCCATAAGGATAAACTTCTATTTTCACACACTGACCACATGTCTTGAACCAACTTATGGACCTTGGATTTAAACCACCTGAGCCTGTGGAGCATTCACAGCTGATTTGGAGTTACTTGAAGAAAAGTTGTAATGTTTCTTTTTTCCCCCTCTCCTGACAAATGACCTCATCATCAGCGAACCATTTTGCGTTGATGGTGTGAGAAAATGTGCAGCTGGTCATTTCCCGAGGAGGTAATGACTGCCATCTCCTCCTGACGTGCAGCTTCGTATCATCCCGACAGGAAATGTGCTGCTTTTATTCACCCGTCTTTCCGTTTCACCGACCCAAACTAACGTCTCCTCGCCCGGATCATCTGCAGTCCACATCTGCTTCTCCTCAGTTCACATACACCTTAATTTGTTTTATTAATGGCTTATGTTTAACTTGTTTTTCTATATAATTTAATTATCTCAAGCCAATTTTTTTTTTTTAAATAAACATTGTCTACGCTTTTTATTTCCTTGTATTTTGTTCAGAATTTTATATTTTCCAAGTGTGTTGCTTTCAGTTTTCTATGGTCTTTAATGGGCTTATCCTTTAAGTGTTTTTTTTTTTATTGTTTTAGTTGGAAGCTTTTGTATCTGTCAATGCGTGCGTATGTTTGGCCGTCTGTTAGCACAATATCTTATGAACCATTGCATAAATTTTAATGAACTTCTCAGATATTGAATGACTCGAAGTACATCTACAACTGATTAACATTTGGAGCCAATTCATTTCAAGATGGACGCAAAAACCAACTGACCTTAACAAACACATAAATGGCTATAACTCTGTCCATTATGCATGTTTTGACCTACAGTTTGGTATGGTAGTAGCTGAGACTGATTTCAGACACTTAATTTGAGCAATAACTTTCTATTTCTAATGGAATCAATTCTATCTGTTAGCAGAATAGCTCATGAACCAATTGGCAGAGTTCAATTAAACTTTTAGGAAATAATCGTTTGATGTAGCGTTACAACTGAATAGTTTTATGAGAGAGCCCAAGTCAAAATGGCTGCAACAGCCAGTTCACCCTAGAAGACGCAAAAATTGATATAATTCAGTCAGCTTTGTAGATATTTCTCTAGGATTTGGTGTGGTAGTAGCTGAGCGTCATTCACAATGCATACTTCTCGTGATAGTCGCTGTTCAAGATAGTTGCTCCAAACTTTAGCCTTCAGATTTAGCATGTCAAGCAAAATGAAAGTTCCAGAAAGTACTCATCGGATGTACATCTACAACTGATTAACTTTTGAAGTCTGCTTTAAGATGGTCACCACAACTCATAGATATGTGCAAAAAGGTGGTGTAATCAGTCAAGTTTACAAACGCTGAGCTGAAATTTGATGTGGTAGTAGCTGAGAGTCATCCACCACGCAAACTTTGAACATGACATCTTGTGATTTTCAATGGTTGACCAAATTGTCCAAAATTTATCCAGAAAATTTGTGAACACTTGATCATCCTAAAAGCAAAACCAGTAAATCAAAAGAAAAAAAATGGGCATTAAAATGTAGACGTTGAGTTGGTTAAAATTACCTCCAAAATTAACTAAAAAGCAGTGGGCCATGTGTCAATCCCTGTGGAACGCCGTTATTAAAAGATGCATATTCTAAGTGGGACATCTTATGGCTGCATGTTGTTTTCAAAATTTGACCAGATTGTCTACAACTTTGTCATTTCTTAACATAAGATCTGGGAAGGAAGGTGGTTTGTATTATTTCATCAATGCTTTTTAAAAAGCTTTTTTTCCCCATCAGCTTTTAAATGTGTGACCAGAACACTTGGACATTCTCAAATGCTGTTTGAAAAAAAACAGCAGAAGAAAATAAAATAAAATCAGGTCTAAAATGTAGGCACTGAGTCAGTTAAAATTACCTAAAAAAATGAACTAAAAAGCAGTGGGCCATGTGTTGATCCCTGTGGAACGCCGTTATTAAAAGATGCATACTCTGAGTGGGATATCTTGTAACTGTGCATGTTATTGTCAAAGTTTGATCAAATTGTCTACAACTTTGTCATTTCTTAACATAATGATCTGGGGAGAAAGGCGGTGAGCAGTTTACATTATTTCATCTATGGCCATAGGCTTTTAAATGTGCAATTTAACCAGATAAATTGGACATTCTCAAACTCTGAGCAAAACTAGGAACAGAAAATGAAATAAAATCAGCTCTAAAATGTAGGTACTGAGTTGGTTAAAATTACAGCCAAAAAGTTAACTAAAAAGCAGTGGGCCATGTGTCGATCCTTGCGGAACGCCGTTATTAAAAGATTTATAAATGGATAAATCAAAAGCTACAGGGCTCAGAAACTGAACTGACTTTCAAAAGCATCGCAATACAATTGTCATTTTTTTAAAGTGAACATTTAAAATGAGCCATTTAAAAATATATAATCATAAATCGTAGTTTTAGCTAAAAGGAGTGGGAACATGGTTTCACAAAGACACCGTCATCCTTTCTTTGATCATTTTGAACGTACAAACAACAGCCTTGGTTCTCTTTCTACTCTGCAGACTCGTACTTCGAAAGAGGAGCCATCGTTGCCCTCCTTCTCCTCTTACTCCTCTGTGACGAGGAGCAAACTCGGCCCTCTGCTTTCAGCTGATAAATTAATGATCACCTGAACTGGATCTTGTGTCTCGCCCATGCTGCCGTGTGATTTGATATGAAACTGGCGGAGCTGCAGTTTCAGCTCTGAGCAGGGAGACTTTTGTAAGGGCGAAGATGAGCTCGTGCTGCAGGGACTGTTTGTTTTCGGCTGCTTTCTTATGAATACAGAAACAAAAGCCTCCACTGCCCGGTAACCATTACTGCTAAAACAAACAACTTCCCCACGAAACAATTATTAACTTAGAAATCTGAGCTGGTGGATCATAAACAGCTTTATGGTGCAGCGTTTGGAAAAATGTTCTACATAATTCCATTAACTTTTAACAAACAAAACGTCCACTTCCTTTCACTCATCCAACATGTTCTCCTTTTCCTCTGCAGCAGCTTGTTTATTTGTTTATTCGCCACAAGTTTAACTAAATATATATATATATATATATATATATATATATATATATATATATATATATATATTATTGTCTTTATGGCGATGTTGATGCAGCAGTTTGATGGTGACGGATTCCAGGTTCGGAGCACAAAGGTCCAATAAAGCGTCTGATGCGATAAGTTTTGATAAGTTATTAAAAACAAACTGCTTCTTTGTTTTTTTTTTTTTTTTTTTACAGAACGTGGAAAGGTCAGTGGAGGCGTTTCGGCTGATGTTGCATTTTCTGTGTTTAACAATTTGCCTGTTGCCAAAAGGCCATAATGTTTTTCTTGCCTGCACTTGTTTGTCTGTTAGCAAAATATCTCGTGAACCGCTGCAGAGATAAAAAAAAAAAAAAAAAACCTATCCGAAAATAATGATTGGATAAACATCTACAGCTGATTAACCTTTGAAGTCAAGCTGATTCAAGATGGCTGCCACAGCTACTTGATTCTAACCTGCACAAAAATCACCCTACTTCAGTTAATGTTGCAGATATTGGGCTAAAATTCAGTGCCGGTAGCTGAGAGTCATCCACAACACATGTTCTGAGCATTAATACTTAGCTGGTCTGGTTTCTGAGCAAATCCTGCCAGTTTTTATCTGGAGCTCGGATAAATCGACTGTGATGTCATTTCCTGTTTTAAACTTTATTTCTTTAAGCTCAGGCTGCAGGTGAGATGTTATTCTGGATTTCTCAACTTTTCAACAGATTGTTCAAAATATTTTACATTTTGAACTTTAAAAGTTTAAATCTATTTTAATCTAAAAACAAACAATTTGAAGATAATTGATTAATTGAGTTAAAGTTGGCTTCACTGTAAACAGAGGTTATTGAGTTTTGCGTCTTAGTTTATGGATTATTTATTTGCAATCTAACCCAGTTTATCATCAGCAGGGGAGAAATTATTCAGCTGATGTGGAGGTTTCCTTCTTTCGTGTCTGTTCTTGGATAATGTTTGACGGCGGTCCAGCTCGACCCACATTCCTGAAACCAGCAAAACGTTTCAACACTTCGTGCTTCGGCTGACGATGAAGCTCACGAAGGAAGAACGAGGTTTTTAAATTAGAAGAGGGAAGTTTTCTGAACCGTGACTTTCAAACACATGATGGCTCAAGGAAACACAAACTGAACTGCATCATGGGAACTTCACAGCAACAGCTAAAATACACGAAGGCCCGCTTGTTTGTCCATTAGCAAAATATATGGTTTCTGCAGCTTTTATACTTATTGAATTGTTTTACTTATCGTTTTCTCATGTGACGACACATTTTCAAATCCTTAAACAGCATACTTTTTAAAATCTGCATTAGCATTTTTAGCCTTTAGCTACTAGCTTGCTAATTTTAGCTTTTAGCTGCAGTTTTTCTCATTTTAACTTCTCACTATTCTGTTGTTTTAAGCTTTCAGCTACTGTTCTGATCATTTTATCTGTTAGCTGTTTGCTAGTTTTAGCTTTCACCTACCATTCCGATATGTTTAGCTTTCTACTATTGTTTTGACATCTTTTAGCGTTTAGCTATTAGCTTTCTACTGATTAATATGTTTAGCTTACAATTATTGTGTTACTATTCATAGCTTTCAGCTACTGTTTTGATTTTTTTTGGTTTTTTATCATATGTTTGCTATATTTTTAGCTTTCAGCTGTTCTCATTGTCAGCTATTGTTCTGCTAGTTTAAGTATTCACTTACGGTTTTGATATTTTAGACTTAACTATTGTTCTGCTAGTTTTAGCTTATAGCTACTTTTCTGATATTTTAGAATTGCAGCTATTGTTCTCCTTGTTTTAGCTTTAGCTACTTTATTATTTTTATCTTTCAGCTACTTTGCTAGTTTTAGCATTCAGTAATTTTTCCTGATCAATTTAATTTTCAGCTATAGTTTAGTTAGTTTTCGCTTTCAGCTGCTGTTTTGATATTTTAAGCTTTCATTTACTGTTCTGATATTTGTAGCATTCAGCTACTGATCTGCTTGTTTTAGCTATTAGCTACTTTTCTGATATTTTAGATTTTAGCTATTGTTTTGCGAGTTTTAGCTTTTAAGCTGTTCTGATATTTTTAGCTTTCAGCTATTGTTTTGCTAGTTCTAGCTTTTAGTAATTTTTTCTGATCAATTTAATTTTCAGCTATAGATTTTTTAGTTTTAGCTTTCAGCCACTTATGATATATTTAGCTTTCAGCTTTTGTTTGGCTAGTTTTAGCTTTTGTTCTGGTATTTTGCAACTTTTAGCTACTTGTAGCTGATGTTCTGAGCCCTTCGGCTGCTCATAAATCAAAATAACTTGCTGAGTTTCACAAATTTTTAATTTTTCCTGTTAATTTAACCTTCACTGATCACGTTTTATAATCCCACCGTTGTTTTGATAAACTGAAATTTTGACTTATGTTTTTAATAACACCATGTAAAGGGAAACATCCTAAATTATAAGTGCAAAAATATTTACATTTTAATTAAGAACATTTCAGAAGAACGACCGTTGGAAACATTCAGATTTCTTCTTATGAACCCGTAAATGACGGTCCATTCGTCATAAAACTACCGGACTCTCCGGTTGTGAGGCTGAGCGAGGCCTGCTGAGGTTTTCTTTTGTCCTGAACACAAAGCGGGAACTGATCCCACACGGAGCTGCTCTGGGCTCGCTGCGGCTCGTCGTCGGACCTTTACGAGTTCAGAAACGCAACAAAGTGTCTTTTATGAGGCCTGCAGGAAGCGGAGCGGCGTGCAGCGTCTGCCTTTGGTGCGGTCACTTTTATCACAAGGCACCCATGCAAATACACACTCCTGCAGAAACTCTCATCTGGGTCATGTGACCTCAGCACCTGGACCATGAAGTACAAAGAGTTCTGATCCGGTGCATTCGGAGCTTCTCATTCAGCCCTTAAAAAGTACACTTTATGGGCTAAAGCTTGTCTGTTAGCAAAATAACTCATGAACCGCTGGACACATTTTCATGAAACCTTCAGGAATAAATCACTTGAGATCTACGACTGATTACCTTTTCAAGTCAACCTGATTCAAGATGGCCGCCATAGCCAAGCGAACTTCAAAAACATCAAAATAGCAATAATTCAGCCAGTTTTACAGTTTGGCCTGAAATTTGGTGTGGTAGTAGCTGAGGGTGTTTCACAACAAATACTCTGAGGGCTGCTGTTTTCACGACTCGTTCCTTAAAAGTAAACTGTTGGAATCAGCACTCTGTTAGCAAAATATCTCATGAACAACTGGGTGGATTTTAATGAACCATTCAGAGTGTGAACATATGAATGATCCAAACGGTGCTTGCTCAGTCAGGTTTACAGATAACGAGCAATGATTTGGAGTGGTAGTAGCTGAGAGTCATCCCCAACACGTACCCCGAGCCACAGCTTTGTTACGAAAGGTGGCGGGCGATATGCATTCCTTCATGTCAAACTGTTTCAAGACGCTCTGCAGCAGTTTGAAGCAGCTACATTTGTACGTTTATTTCCTCCAGACTTCACGTTCAAAGTGGACTTTTTTTTGTTGTTGTTGACGTTCCGTCAGAAAGTTTCTGCAGAAAGCTGCACCTTCATGTTCCAGCCGAGCGCCGTGGAAAACGCACGTTCTGTTTTTATCGCTCCGTGTTTGACTTCGACTTGACCTCTGAGACAAAATGTCCTGTTGACACAAAGGAGGCCGCTGGTTTTAATAAGTTACCAGGCGCTCTGCGGGCCGAGCCAGCCGGGCGGGAACGTCTCGCCGAGCTGCCAAACGTCGTTTTCAGAAGTGTGGCGGGCCGAGCTGCAGCAGGAGGTTCTGCACACTCGGGTTTCCACTCCTGGGACGGCTGACCCGGAACAGAAACGCTGAGGGAGTTGACGGAGGCGTTTTCTTTGTCTGGCCTTTTTAATAACGCTCTCTTACGTAACTCCAAGTGTTTGTAATTCTGGGTATTGTTTGTTTTTATATGGGCTTTGCTAGCATTATCAAAAGAAGGTGGTTTTGTTTTTTTCTTTTAATGGCAGCAAAGTCCATCAGATTATCACCTTTATGGCAAATCCCGTGATAATCCAGAATGAGGTCAGGTTTACTTTCACTGACAATAAGAACAACAGTCACAAAAACTGCTTTCAAAAGGTTGATTCCTGCTCTGAGCTGTATTTAGCATTTGAAAACTGTAAAAAAAAAAGCTGCTTCTTAAAGTTTAAATTATTCATTTTGAACCAAAAACTCCACAAAAGTTTCTTTTAATTTACCATAAAGTGATCATTTCATTTCTTAATATGAATCTATTAGATTTTTGGCACGTTTCCTTTAAATATAGCTGCACGCATTATTCAAATATTGATGCAAAAACGCTCAAAAACTGTGGTTCCCAAAAGCTGGGGTCGGGGCCCCCTGTGGGGCATAAAAACACACATTTGAGGCCCTCAGAAATAAAAAAAAATAAAAAATTATTATTCCCATGAGGATTCTTTTACCATTATTATTGCAAAACCTAAAAAGCCTATTAGTAAATTATGAGTTTAATCTTTCTTATTAATTAACTTGTTTACAACACTTTTGTTTATTTTGGGGTAAAAAGTTTGCTCTAAAATTTGCATGTTGCTACAATAAACTGTGGATAGATGTTTAAAAATATTAGAAAAAATATATTTTTTTGGCAAACTGCTTAATTTTTCGTACTTATTCAGTTTTTTGTGTTATAAAATGTTATAAAATAATAATTTTTTTAAAAACTGGTCCCATCCATTGTTTTATATTTTAACCTTTTTTGGGGTGATGGCTTAAAATCCTGATAAGATTCTTGACTGAAACCACTTCAGTCGAGCTGAACAAGTTTCATTTCGTGGCACAAAACGGGGTCGTCTTTAAAGACGTGTTCTTTTTTAATATTTTCTCACCTCAGGTTTGACGATCTGCCTGAAGAAGTTTCTGTCAGATGTGAAAGTGTCCCACCATGCTCCTTCTCCTTTGCTCTTCCTCCGTCTCCACTCAGGTGATCGAGCACAGGTGCAGCATCTCTCTCTGTCCTCCACCTCTGCACACACACCCTTCTCAAACACACACCTTACCGCCCGCCCAGCTGAGGCGGTGCAGCCCTTGGTTCAGAGCAGATAACTCGCATCAAACGACAAACAGAATCTTTATTGGTCTCACTTCAAATGTGTGAACATGGTTTTCTTTTAATGGGGAGTTTTCTTGCAGAATGAGGCTGCGTTTGGGCCTGAAGTGTCCAGTTTCTGAGCGGCTGAGGTGGAACGTGAGGCTGAGAGGAATTTGGAGCTGTTTTGCATGGCTTTGTGTAAAACCACAGACAATGAATGTGCACTTTGCACGACATTCAAATGATCTGAATACAGTATAGGCCACATGTCTGAGACTCCCAGTCACTGCTGCAGGGATTAAAACATTTCTGTTTCACGTTTAATTCACAAGATGCCTGAAAAAGTTGTGGTAAAATAAACACTTTTATTCAACAAATAAAAATAGTATCTGTAGTTTCTATTTTTTACTTTGACTTTCATTCAATTGCAAAATGTATGAACCTCAAGCATCTTCTCTTTGACATCTGTTAATAAACTCTAGTTTGTGCGCTTTGTCTTGAGGTTTAAAGCAGTTTTTAATCGCACAATCGTACAGTGTTTCACTCTAAAGTTCAACATTTTTTAAGTGTTCCTTTATTTGCAATGAGTAAATAAATAAATGAGCAAATCAATCATAACAGTACGAACAGGAAACAATAGTTAATTTAGAACACGAATCAAAGAACTGATCACAGTGCTGGAAGGTTTATGAACAATTAATAATACATATATCCTGTTTTTAGTTTTCTACATTTGTCTTGGAATCTAGCTTTTTTTTATTTATTTTTTTGTTACCTTTTCCTTTTAGCCATCCTATTTGTTAAAAAAAATAATAATAATAATTAAACTGTAGTATGCTTTTTTTAACTGTTTATTGTTGTTGCTGTTGTCCATTTCTTTGTTAAATCAGGTCTCTCTTGTAAATGAGTCCTCGAGGCTCAATGGGATTTACCTGTATAAATAAAGGTTGACTGATACTGACACTTGTAAGTTGATAAAGCATTAATGCTAAAAATGTATAATTAACATCCCAATATACTTAATTATTAAATAAATATTTTCATAACATGCTAAAGCGTAAACAGCTAAATGTTTCCCTCTAGCGGCCACTTTTAGTTACTGCAGGAAAGCGGCCGTAGACGTTAACCAATCAGCTGCGGCGTTTAGTAAACTCAAACGTGATTGGTCAATTCTTTAGGCTGAGCTAACATCGCTCTATTTGATTTGTTAAGAATCTCCCAACGTGTCATAAACAGCGAAATCCTGATGGTGCCAGAGGAAATATCTGAAAATAACTATTTAAAATCGATGAAACGGTGAAACATTGGCAGCGTACTCGGGTTTTAAAGAGCGGAGGGATAATGGAGGTGAGCTAAAAGCACTCGCTGATAATCATTAGCCTGGAAGCTAACGCAGCTAGCTGTCACCGACTCAAAGTTCGATGTTGGAACAGATTTTTAGATCTCACTTTATTTTCTAATAAGCTGTTAAAATTGTTCTTTGTTTTATGATTCTCAAACAAAGGAACGAAGTGAAAATAATGATTTTTTTTTTTGTCTTTTCAGCAGAATATTCAGAATCTTCCCATCGACATACAGATCAGCAAACTTTTAGGTGAGCGAAAGCACAAATAACTGTGTAAAATCTTATTTATTACTCTTATATTACTTATTTGAGGAGCCTGACGTTCTTGTAATCTTCTAGTTGTCTTGAGCATTAGCTATCTGGAGTCCTATTAAATAATATTTTATTAAATTGAATGTTATTAGTCTTTTCAGTCCAGTTTTTGTTGCTAATTATTTGCAGATCATTAATAAGTATAGGAAAATTAAAAAAATAAATCATAAAAACATCTGCTTTTCCCTTTCTCTATGCATAAAACAGATAAACGTGCCAAAGTTTTAAACCAGCTCCAATTTTGTTATTCGATTATTTTCGTATAAAAACTGATTTGGGAAAATCTAAAGAAACAAGGGATGACATAAACTGTTTGAACCGTCATAGTTGTTGTTTTCATTGTAAAACACCACGTCAAACACAATCAGCCTAACAAGTCGTATAAAAATGCAAATTATTTGCCATATGTTGAATATTTTGTTGACCAAGTGAGCGAAAAGTTCTCTTTAAAGCAGTGGTGCCCTATCCTGGTTCTCGAGGGCCACAGTCCTGCACGTTTTGTGCAGTCCGATGGTTTAGTGGTTGGCGCTGTTGTCTCACAGGTCCTGGGTTCAATCCCCAGTTTGGACCTGGGTCTTTCTGTGTGGAGTTTGCATGTTCTCAGGTTTGCAAGTTTTTTGGGGGGTAGTCCAGTTTCCTCCCACAGTCGACAAACATGCATGTCAGGTCCAGACCTTCCTTGCAAAAGAGATCTGTCATCTCAATGTAGGCGTTTCTCTGCTTTGACACGAGTCAAAGTCTTAAAGAATGCACTGAATTTTGTTTTATTTTACTCTGAATCGGAACAAAGATTCACAAAATTAGCCTCATGTTGTGTTAAAAACACCTAAACCATATAGTTTAAGTCCTTAAAGTAAAAAAATCCAGCTTTTGATTTTAGTTATAATAAATGTTTGTTTGGGTGTTAAAAAACATGCATGTTAGGTGGCCTTCTGGCCCCTGGGATTTGCCTGGTTTAATAAAGGAAAGTAAAAGTGGCAAAAAATTGTTTAAAAAAAATCTAGAAATTTGAATCTTGAGAAGTCAGGAATTTTAAAACAAGAAGAACGTGGGAACCATGTTTTTTTTTTTAATTCAGTAGAACTAATAAATAATCATTCTGTTATGAAAAAGGTAAAGACTAGATTGTTTTATATTTTAAATGCATCTACGGAGTTTGACGGCACAGAAAGGCAGCAAACATGCCAAGTGCTTTAACAAACAAAATGATTAGAAACTGGACAGAAAACGGGTGAAAATCAGTGAAAGTGTAACAGATTGTTTGAAGAAGTTCTGATCAAGACGACTTCAGAAAGAAACTCGGGCTTCGTTAGAAGAAAATCTAAAGAAATGAAAGGCAGAGCGAGACGTTAGCGCCATGTTCAACTGCCGCTGTGACAAATTAATCAAATATTTCCACATTTTTACATTTAAGTCGAGACGTGTGTGTGTGTGTGTGTTTGCAGACTGGCTGCTGGATCGACGTCACTGTAACATAAAATGGCAAAGCGCCATTAAAACGGTCAGAGAGAAGATCAACGCGGCCATTCAGGACATGCCAGAAAACGAGGAGATCAAGCAGCTTCTCTCCGGCTCCTGTAGGTTCCTCATGATCAACCAGAGATCTGGGCTGGACTCTCTCTGCTTCTACCGCCACAGTTGTTTCACGGAGCAGATGAGAGTTCAGAGAAATGTGGAACAAGTGAGGAGGCGAGATGTGGTCGTTTTAAAGTAGAAACATTCTCTTCTTGCTTTTATCTGAACGTCTAAAACATTCGATAACAAGTAAAGACTTTCAGTCAGAACTGCACTGCAGGTTCAAGCTCTTAGAAAAATGTAAATATTTTATAACTACTGCTCTTTTTTTCAGGATTTTATGTTCAGTAATGCAGATGTTTAGCTTTTCAATTGAATACATTTTTAATAACTTTTTTTTTTTTTAATTCATGAAGCTCTTAGACGAGACGGAGCCTTTCTTGTAAATTATAGAAGTCCATCTCTTTGATGGCTGCGTGTACGTTTTTCTCACTTGCTCTGTTGTTGTTTTGTGTCTCCGCTCAGACATTCACTACTTTCACTGCCTGCGGATTGTGGAGGTTCTGAAAAGAACCGAGGCGTCATCCAAGAACATCTTCGGCAGATATTCTTCTCAGAGAATGAAGGTAAACGGATTCAAACAAATTGCCGTTCGTCCTGTTAATCCGTCAGGACTCGCAGCTTCGGTGTGTTTTTGTTCTCGCAGGACTGGCAGGAGATCGTGTCGCTCTATGAAGCAGATAACGTGTATTTGGGTGAGTGCATCACCGCGGTCGTTCTTGTCTGTGCATAAAGCTGATTTTAAGAAAACACAAAGTGATGATTTTCTGCAGCGGCGGACACGATGTATAAAAGGTGTTTCTAGACGTCTTACGTAATAAAACCTGTGCTCGTTCGTCCCAGCGGAGGTGGCCAGCTTGCTGACTCGTAACGTGAGCTACGAAGGTCCGGCTCTGAGGAAGCAGCTCGCCAAAGCTCAGCAGCTGCAGCAGGAGCTCAGCAGGCGGGAGGTGGAGTGTCAGCGTTCAGCCTCAGAGCTGAGGGAGCGCTACTACGCCGCCTGCAAACAGTACGGGATCACCGTGAGTCCCGGACACAACCGT